CTCTCATCTTGTCAGGTAAATCTACGGATTGATCTATACATCAAACATTTACATTTCAATGGGGAATACAATCAATAATGCATGATGATGATCAGTTGTCAATAATGATTTAAATATAAGAATTTATGAAAAGTTGATTTCATTAAAGTGTAATTTATTATTTATTTACAATCAGTTGATAGTGTACAGATGACCTGCAAAAGTATGCATCACATAAAAACCGTGCAAATAAGAGTTTTTAATTCAACGACAATCTGGACTCTGTCCTGACCATTGCATACTCTATAAACATAAACGTCTGGAGTCATAGAATGGAGTGACTGATACCGCACTATGCTGTATAAACGACGACAGTGTGTTGCCATCAGATCTACCACCTCACATGACAAAATACTAGATTTCAGGGTTCCTCAGGGGTCGGTGTTAGAACCACGAAAATAATGCCTATATTTTAGAAACCGATTGGAGAGACTTGTCGTCGCCATAGCCTTCGCTATTCACTGTTATGTTGATGACACACAAGTCTGGTCATCAAACCACAGGTCAGTTGGGATACAATATCAGAAAATCTGGAGGCTTGTCTGACAGACATCAGTACCTGGATGGACGCCAATATGCTAATGCTTAATCAGGAAAAGACGGAACTAAGCGTATTTTCCCCAAAGTGTCAGAGAACAATGGGTCTCCAGCTCAAGGTCGTTGTCAGAACTATTCCAGCTGTTAAAAACCTAGGAGTATACTGTGATAGTACACTGAACATGGGGAAACAAGTGAACGCTATTGCCAAATCCGGTTATTACCAGATCAGGAACATTGCTTAATGTATAATGGTGATTGTTAGCCTTTGTTTGTTTCACAATAATAACTAATACTATTATCCATATGTTGTAAAGCGCTTTAGAATAATTTTACAAATCAGATAGGGCACTATATAAACGTTGTATATTATTATTATTATAATTGAGGAGCTGGTGAAACGGCACGACTGACTGTGACAATGGTCAAAGAAAACAGTAAAAGCAGCCCCAAACCTAAAATGTAAAATGCATTTCGTCCAAACTACGCATTGGCTGCACATTGGGCCAAGTCAGCTGATGTACCTGAGGGGAAACGGTGTCTGTTACGTACAGAGAAGAACCTTCAAAGAGGTGGTAGCAACAAACAAAGCGGCCCGGTAAAGAATAATATATTCCGTTTTGGGTCCGGGGCAGTACGGTTTGTTAATTAGTCACTCTCCTGTAATTTGCATTATCTAAAAAAAACGGTGTCGCTCTGGTGGAAAAAACCAAGGACTCTGGAATGAGTGTAGCAGCTGTAAGTGATAAAAAGTGCGGTTTTGGATCAATAAATAACCCATATATCGATATATGTGAGGTAGGCCTATGTGATTTTTTCATAGAGATTTGTTGTTGTTGTCAGCACCTCAAAACTCTCCAAATACCAAACGATGTCGGAGAACTCCATGTTTTCATTAGTAGTGCGCCCTAGCCCCACACCAGACAAATACATGTCAAAATGTCTAAATATGGTGTCAGAGGAGAGAAAACTCGGGCTAGGGCAAAACATGGTACAAAATTGTATTTTTTAGAAGGCGAGGTTTTAATTTTCAAAGTTACAATTTCCTGGAAAAAAATCATACAACAAAATTCGTATCAAAGTGATTCATTCTTACCGTACAAGACTAAGGCATCAATGCAGTTCTCTTAGATATAATCTATTCTCTGCACAGTTACATGTAGCTAGAGATTCAAACTGTTCAAATCATGGTCACCGTTGAGAAAATGCCTATCATTTCTCCTTGGGGTGTCAATCTTATAGTTCTGCTCGTACATGACTGTTCCTATAAGTTAACAATATAGATATGCAAATAAGTGACTTTACCACTTTTGTCGACGAAAACCTAGCTTTGGATGATAATTTTAATTTATTCAGACATGTGCAAACTTTTATCTGGTCCACGAAAGATTTTGAACATAAAATATATGCAGGCCTACATATGTAGTTACTTCCTACCATTACTTGTATTATCTATAATTGTCTGTCTATGTAATCACTTATTATTGAAAGTTGTTGGAGATGGCTTCATGAGTTGCAATAACGTATGTCAAATCTCTTTTACTCATTTGGACAATAAATATGTTTAAAATGAAAGCCTTTTCGTAGGGAGTTGAGAAAGATGTTGGCTGGTTGCAAAGGCGACGACCTACGAACTAGGTTGTGATAAAGCGTTATATAAGAACTCCGAATTATTATTATCAGTATTATAACCACTAGATGGACCTCAAATACACGTATAACAGATCCTCCAGCAGCACAAACTTGGCTACTTTGTCTGCGTATATAAGGACTTCACAGACTTATACAGTTATTTGTTACAAATCTATAATGGCGACACCTGTAATGGTGTGTGACGGACGTTGATCCCGTGTTCCATTTCCATTTAAAAGAGTACATATGGATAATGAAAATACTTCTTACAAAAAAAACTGTTACAGAAAAAAGTTTAAAATCCAATTGCTTACCTGCATTTACATATCCAATGGCGACTAGCAAAAGAAAGGCTATCATAGTGAGGTTGTTTAAGGTTACAAACGTGTCAAGTCCTGTACATTTTGCTGATAATATACACAGTCTTATCGCAGTTGTCTCTAGCAAGTCAGATACTGACATAAAGTCATTGTTATTAGGTCGACATCACCTGTTTCAACATTCCTTTGAGAAGAAAATTCCTACAGCTGAAATGAAACATTTGTTTTTCATATTTGTATTGATTATCTCTGTTGGTGTCCGTCCGTCCGTCTGTCCGTCGTCTCTCTCTCTTCATTCGTTACCAACACTCTTTTATTTTGATTATTGTTGTTTATTCTTATAGAGGACATCGATACCTTTGTGTCTTGTCGTGCTTTGTTTATTTTGCTATAAAATTGCAGGATCTACTTAGAGCGAAGCTCTAGATCTTCAATAGTCAATTCGGCAGGCCAAAGTATCCGATGACAAAACACTCGATAATTATATAATTATCTAACAGTCATTACAATCATCATAAATTCCGAATTGAAAAGTCCAACAAATGACTGAATTTTGATACACAAAATCAATTCGTCGTTAAAACTGTAATTTGAATGAGGGTATGAAAAACACCCTATTGATTTTCAAAATAACATAGAAACTATACATTTATAAAGCGTGCAAGAATGAAAGTGTACAGCAAAACCTACCTAATCAACGCCTATATTCATACAGAATATCGCTCAATTTAAAAACTTTTATCAGACAAAAACGAGCTTTGCTAGCTGGCAGTTTTTCGTCAACAAGAGGTCATCAGAAACGAAATGGCTCATACAAAAAAATTCTTACTGAAAATATAACTGACATCTCAGTTTGGATTATGTAATAGAATCTTTACCCTCGGCTGAGATTATCCGAGCTCTCTTAGGCTGTAGATTTTTAACACTTTACACACAACATAGATCCATCTTATTTTCTTCATTTTCTTCAATTTTCTTCTCTCCTTCAACAACATATATCAAAATTCAACATTTACTCCGACAATATCTCATTTATCCAGAAATTTCCACCACACACACTAAATTTTCGATCACCGTTGGAACTAGAGTTCCTGGTGAACGTTACGAGATTTCGGGTACACGATATCTAGGCCTGCCAATGTTCGCGCATGATCTTTACTGAAGTGTAGAAGAAGGGCTCGCTTTATCTCGCTCCTTTCCTCCTCAAACTTGTCAACGATCATCGCCTCCTCGAAAAACATGATGGATTTCCTCACAGCCTCTTGGAACAGTGTTGGCTTCCAGCCAAGAACCAGTTTGGCTTTGGACGTGTCGATAGCGCCCAATGATACAGAGGGAAACATGTATATTGAAGATGACCAGTTCTCATCAAGAGCAGATAACTCTGGTACATCATATTGTTGTTGGGACGGTGCCGATGGCCACAGATACGTCATATCTGCGTTTTTGTTCACATCAATCTGAATATCTGGACGGTCTAATAAGACTGCCATAGCTTTCAGCAGTTCAGTCAACGTCGGGTTTTCTTCGAATGCAAAATTGTAAGCCTGGTTGAAGACATCAAGATCAGCATCCAAAAGCTTGACAATCATGTCTGCTACGTCGTAGGAATAAACAAAGCTTAAAGGTCGATCAGTCAATTCAGCTGGTACCGACACGGGGCGATCAAGGTAGTCGGAAAGTTTTATCCAAAGCTGGTACATCCACCATCGGTATATATTGTCACGTGGTCCGATAACATCCGGTAGACGCATAGCAACAAACGGCACCCCTCCGTCCTTCTGTGCCTCTAAAACTTCCTCGCCTTCTAGCTTCCGGTGTCCGTATGTATCTTTTTTACTGTATATAATCCTTTCCGTTTCCGGTACCGGACGAACAGAATCTGACTCCACAGTCGGTTTAGTATGGTTCTTCATACAAACCTCGTAAGTTGAATCGGAACTGATGAAAATATAACGTTTGATTCTCTCATTGAGAACATCCAAAATATCTGCAACATTTTCTCCTGCAAACGAACTGAAATCGACAACGGCGTCAAAAACAATATCTTTTCCTTCCCCAGAAAGCAGGAATGCCAAATCTGGACACTTGCCCAAGGAGTTGCGACGATTGCATTGTATAGGCGTCACAAACGGAAGAATTAACTCGGACGTGTCCCAATACCAATTGCCTCGATTGACGACCACCAGGTTGTCTCTCTTTTCAATAACGCGTTCCATAAAAGCGGAACCTAATAGTCCGTTTCCGCCCAGGACAAATATTGTCTTTGCACTTCCGGTAGTGCACTGAAGTAGCAAGTATATGGATAACAAGATTGTGAACCGAGTCATACCGAAAACCATGGTGTCTTCCTCTAGTGTGATGGTTTTCTTTAACCTCAATGGCGGAGAGAAAGTCTGCAAATAAAAAGAACAGTTTTAATGAGATGATAATGATAACTATCATCAAATCATCAAAGTCTCTTGTATGGAGATTAAGATGGCATAATCTGTGAGCTTACTAATTGGAAAGTTATTGAAATTTTAAATGAAACAGTTCTTTAATTTTAGCATCAAGAAGGCGTGTAGTGTATGCGTGTTTGCGTGCGTGTATGCAGGATACAGGGTTTGTTGGTGTGCTTGCCTCCTTGTGATAGCGCGGATCTAATGCCGACTTTATAGTGCTATCTCACTGAAATACCATGCCGAAGGCAACCAGCACAGCATTCCGCCCGGTCACATTATACCGACAACGGGTGAACCAGCTGTTGCCATTCCCCTAAATGCTGAACGTTAAGCAGGGGATAACAACTACCATTTGTTGAGGGGTGGGGTTGCCGTTAGGGGTGATCCTATATGTAGGGTGTTTGGGTGTGGGGTGTGTGTGTGTGTGTTGGGGGTGTTCCGAATGACCTGTTGACGTCATAATGACGTGACATATGACGTCACGAGTGTTGTCTAGACTTCGGGAGCAGTAACACACTATGTGTCAGGGGGTTTGGAAGTTGCGGGAGCAGTAACATCTGGATCGTGTTGAGATTGTTTCCAACATGCCAGCCTTGACTCGAGAGGGTGTATTAAATTAAAGTACCCTACTCGAGCATAGCTGTAATGTATATTTTATTCGCTGCCGAAGTTTTTCTGAAGTTATTTAACAATTTCTAGCTAGTCTTTAGCTTTAAAACAGCAATGATTCAATAAATAGTTAATCGTTGGCTCGCGCTGTCGTTAGCTAAAGTAGCCATTTTTTATTGGCTACTAAAAACACGATGTAGCTATTAAATTGACTTCTGAGTTTTTAAAAGTGGGGAAAATCTGTATCTTTGTCTAAGGAAACATTCTGTCTACTTACGTGTGTATTGTGACTGACACTGATTGAGTAAACATAATCAGGGCCGTCACAGTTCAGCGCGCACATAAAGACTGCGAGCTTATGCTTTTGTCCAAGTTGTAAAGTCATTTAACAAGCTTAAGAGGGCAACATGTATTATAATTCGTGTTACAGTAATGGATTGCTGGGTCGAGTTAATTTTAACAGCTGACGGAACTTTTTCTGAGGTTATTTAACAATGTCTAGATATTCTATAGCTTTAAAGCAGAAGAAATAGTAAGAATTGTCATGAAATACGTTTAAAAGTAAAGAAAACACCTGATAATCGTTGCTAATCGTAGTACCCGTCATCCTTCAAAGTCTGTTGTCATGTCAACTATCCGTAAGTGTGACGTCGTAACCGAAAGTACAAACTAATTAAATTAAATTTGAAAGACAGCAAAATATTTGGAAACAAACATATGGAGTTACTTGCCTTTACCGTAAATGATTTTGGTTTATTTTGGTTTATTTTTACAAAGACATTTATTACAATAAAAAGCAACAGAAAAAAAAAACTTCGGTTATTTTTTCTTACAAATTTAGTATTAACTCTTTATGAAATGAATGAAATGAATGAAATGATTAATTTATCGATATTTTAATCGACATTCTTCATCAAATTTTCATGCTGAATGGGCTGAAAGAGCTGATACGCATGTATGGTGTTATTAGGTGTTTTGGAGTCGGAGTCGTTGTGTTTTTGGAGTTATTCTGTTTTGAGTCATCCTTTTTTATATCTTTTTACTAGAATTCTTCTATTTGCAACGAAAGAGTAGGATTATTCTTAGTTTTATTCATATTTTGCAAACAAATGAAGTAATTTTTTTTATCAATTTATCGATATTTTAACGTAAAAATCGACATTTTTCATCAAATGTTCATGATGAATAAGATGATACGCTGGTATAGTGTTATTTGGTGTTTTGGAGTCATTGTGTTTTTGGAATTATTCTGTTTGGAGTCACCCTTTTTGATGTTTTTTACTTTAATCATTCTATTTTTTAAATGAAAATGTGGTATTTGTTTTAGTTTTATTCATATTTTTCAAACACATAGTATTTTTTTTTATTAACTTATCGATATTTAACGAGAAAATAGACACTTACATCAAGTTTTCATGCTGAATGAGCTTAATGAGCTTAAAGAGCTGAAACGCATGTATGGTGATATTTGGTGTTTTGGAGCTCGCTGTAATCCAAAGGAGAATTGTTTTGGCATGACCGGTCTATCTCGATTCCAATCTTGTTTGCAATCTCGCTTCCAATCTCGAGTAATGTAATGATGACAGAAAATGGAACAAGAAAAGGTATAAATATAACTCATATAGACATCTATAGATGTCTATTTTTTTTTTTATAACATTCTAGTAAAAGTGTATATTGAGAAATTCAGCGTGGACTATGTTGGCAACTGTTCAAATTCTATCTAGGGTGGAAACTGAGAAAAAGAAAAGATTGGATATCCATGATAATGAGTATTCGGACAAAAAATTATTATTGGAAAGCGGTGAACAACGTGTATCGTGAAGGTTATCGTGGATTATTACTTTGTGAAAGATTTGTTTGAAGTACAAAGATCGAATTCATTTCTGAAACAATTTCAAATGTTAAAGAGGACAAAAAATGGTATAAATACAGACATTCCATAGTTTCGTAGGTGAAAAAACCAAAATGTTGTCAAAAAGTTGTTTGAAACTGTACGAAATGAAGGTAAGTTTAAAATAAGTCTACCACAGATCACCGTCTGACTGCAAAATCAAGATTCCTACAGCGTTTGAAGTGAGACACAAGACCCCTCGGGTGAAAACTCCTTAAAAAGGGTGTGGACTACATGTGGGAAGCAGATTTGACTGATGTGTCTAATATCGAAGAATACAACAATGGTATATGTTTTCTACTCGTTGTTATAGATCATTTCCCCCTGCTATGCTTGAGTTCAGTTTAAAAACAAGAAAGCCAACACCGTATTGGAAGCTTTTAAAACAATTCTTGCCGAAAACCCCCCAACTTTAATCAGATCTGATCATGGAAAGGAGTTTCTGAACTACTCCATTAAAAGGTATTGCACATCCATAGGCGTCGTACACGTAGCAAATCACAGTGTTCACAAAGCTGCTTTTGCCGAATCTTTCATAGGCAAATTGAAAAACAAACATTTAAGTTCTTAGACGTATTACCAGGTCTCGTTCGAAGTAATAACAGTAGAACACATTCCGGTCTGTATCGCTTGTCTCCCAAGGACGTGAACGAAACACACAAAACTCATCTTTTTCAGAAGAGCCGCTGGTGACAGGCCTACGAGGAAAAGACCGTATAAGTTTAAAAAAGGGGGATCAAGTGAGATTGAGTTATAAAGTACGCGTGTTTCGTTGTGGATAACAACAGAAATGGACCGAAGAAATATGCGAAATTTTTCACCGGTATTACCGAGGAAACATTCCCGTGTATAAAGTCAAAGATTTCGATGGTGAACAAATACAGGGGTCTTTCTACGGCCAAGCATTTCAGAAGTGAATAAAGACAAAGACAAAGATAGAACAAGTTTTAACAACAAAAAAGGTCAAAAGAAAGAAATTAGCATTAGTAAGATGGTTAGACTGGCCCAAAAAAATCGATTCTTGAATTGATGACCACGACATATCCCCGAAAAAGTATCAATGCATTGCATTGAACACATTTTTACATAATTTAGATGATCATTAGCTTGCCTAACGAACACATTTTCCCGATTTGCTCAAAAACTTTCACGAGGGCATATTCAAAATCACGACACATTAGAAGTAAACATACGAACGACGTTTTATTTAATACAAATCGCTTTGGCGTATCTTCTTTGGAAAACAAACAACGTCTTTCGATCAAAGAAAAAACATATCCTTTCGAAATCAGCAATGTACCGGATGACATGTTACCACCCGTTCCCGTCGGTCATTTCTTACCGTGGATACATCCTTTTTAGTGCCTGAGTGCTAGCCCTACAGGAAGTGGAAAGACTATGATCGTCAAGATTTTTTTTTTTTATCTTGACAACAGAAAAGTTGACGGGGAACTGTACAAAACCAATATAAAAGACACAAAAGGGTAATAAATTCGTTATACGGATTTTTGGCAGGGTATACGGGATAGGATGACCCTACAGGATTTCGTTTTTCCTTCGGCCTATCGGCCTCAGGAAATACTAACCCCTTTAGGGTCATACCATCCCGTATACCCTGCCAAACACCCGTGTAACTAATAATATCCGGGTCTTTTAGTGAGAAGTTAACATACAGTGTCAGTGAGTCTGGTTTCACACTTAACACGTGTATGTCGCTTGGGATTTACACAACGCAATCAAGAATTATAAGCATCATAATATATCAACTAAATGACGGATACTACCGTTCACAGTTGGATTAAAACAATGATACCATCGGGAGAATTTCAAACCACACAAAGTACGTACGACTATCGAGTTATTACGATCTTTCAGATGTTACTTGGGAGATTCCGGTACTTTAAAAAATAACCAGGTGAATAGCGTAAGAATTTTGCGGTCTTTCCTAGGCTTGAAAGACGTATTTGTTAGTTAGCCCACATGCGTTAAAATGTCTAAAATACACATACTGTTATGGGTCAAAGCACACATAAGCATACTCGTATGCGTATGTGTGCTATGACCCATATCAGTATAACATATATGTGTATTTTTAGACATTTGTAACGAACCCATGTTTTTGCTACACGTTCAGACACCTGCTGAAAGATTTCTTCATTACTGATTTAGAACGGAAAGAATTGTCAATTCTCGACATGAATTGTTCATAAGAAGTAGCAAACTATATTTTCATGACAAGATTATAAAACAAGAGGCCAAATGGGCCTGCATCGCTCACCTGGTATCAATCTCACACTTGTAATCTAAAAAGTGGACTAAAATACAGTTACAGGCAAAATATCAATGTTTCATTCATAAGAACCTATTAAAAGATTTAAACATATATTGACCACTGTGACCTTGAATATGGGTGAAGGTCATTCACTTGGTAGTCCTTCATCCCAGCATATTACTGCCCAAGTATCATCACCCTAGGCCTTTTGGTTACTGAGAAGAAGTTGTTTAAAGGTTAAGAATATATTTGACCCTATGACCTTGAATAAAGATGAAGGTCATTCATTTGAACAAACTTTATAGCCCTTCATCCCAGCATGATACTGGCCAAATATCATTATCCTAGACCTCTGGGTTATTCAGAAGAAGTTGTTTAAAGATTTTAACATATTTGACCCCTGTGACCTTAAAATAGATATGTCAAGGTCATTCATTTGAACTTGGTAGTCCTTCATCCCAGCATATTACTGCCCAAGTATCATCACCCTAGGCCTTTTGGTTACTGAGAAGAAGTTGTTTAAAGTAAAAAGTTGATGCCGGACGGACGACGAACGACGGACGACGGACGCCGCACCATGCCATAGCTTCACTTGGCCCTTCGGGCCAGGGGAGCTAAAAAACCTTACTTCACTAAACTGTCCCTGCTGCCCGAGCTGGTTGAAACGTTTCTACACAGAAATACGACTAGATTACTATATTTTCATGACAAGATTATAAAACAAGAGGCCAAATGGGCCTGCATCGCTCCCCTGGTATTAATCTCACACTTGTAACCTTAAAAGTGATCTAAAATAAAGCTACAGGCAAAATATCTATGTTTCATTCATAAGAACCTGTTAAAAGATTTAAACATATATTGACCACTGTGACCTTGAATATGGGTGAAGGTCATTCACTTGGTAGTCCTTCATCCCAGCATATTACTGCCCAAGTATCATCACCCTAGGCCTTTTGGTTACTGAGAAGAAGTTGTTTAAAGGTTAAGAATATATTTGACCCTATGACCTTGAATAAAGATGAAGGTCATTCATTTGAACAAACTTTATAGCCCTTCATCCCAGCATATTACTGCCCAAGTATCATCACCCTAGGCCTCTCAGTTATTCAGAAAAAGTTGTTTAAAGGTTAAGAATATATTTGACCCTATGACCTTGAATAAAGATGAAGGTCATTCATTTGAACAAACTTTATAGCCCTTCATCCCAGCATGTTACTGGCCAAATATCATCAACCTTGTCCTTTCGCTTATTAAGAAGTCATTCAATGTTTTTAAACATATTTGACCCCTGTGACCTTAAAATAGATATGTCAAGGTCATTCATTTGAACTTGGTAGTCCTTCATCCCAGCATATTACTGCCCAAGTATCATCACCCTAGGCCTTTTGGTTACTGAGAAGAAGTTGTTTAAAGATTTTAACATATTTGACCCCTGTGACCTTAAAATAGATATGTCAAGGTCATTCATTTGAACAAACTTTATAGCCCTTCATCCCAGCATATTACTGCCCAAGTATCATCACCCTAGGCCTTTTGGTTACTGAGAAGAAGTTGTTTAAAGTAAAAAGTTGACGCCGGACGGACGACGAACGACGGACGACGGACGCCGCACCATGCCATAGCTTCACTTGGCCCTTCGGGCCAGGTGAGCTAAAAAACCTTACTTCACTAAACTGTCCCTGCTGCCCGAGCTGGTTGAAACGTTTCTACACAGAAATACGACTAGATTATACAAAGGATCGTATAATGGAGTCAGCACAAACATTACCTGACCAAGCAGTAAGGTCAATGGTCAATCTTCACTGACTTTGAATAGCGCATGCCGAACGGAGACCATTGAATGGTGAAGTTTTAACCACCTGCGATTCCCTTATACTGGGTTTCGATGGAATTCTCTAGTTATTTTGCATCCAGCACGGCAGAGTACATACACAAATAAATAATAATTTGCTTTGGTTTGGTTTAGTTTGTGTTTTTTGTCCTATCAACAGCTATGGAAACTTGCGACCCGGACAACTATAGAGCTATAACTCTAGTGTCTTGCTTGGGGAAAGTGTTTACTCATATAATCAATGATAGATTAACTAAATTAGCTGATGAAATTAACCTAACTTTTCCCTCTCAGGCAGGGTTTAGAAAAGGTTACTCGACGACTGAAAATATTTTTATATTACACTCATTAATAAACACATATTTTGCTCAAGGGAAAAGGCTGTACTGTACATTTATTGATTTTCGAAAAGCGTTCGACACA